CATTCATTGTGAATTATAGTGTTTGTTATAGCGTGACTGTGGAAATTAAGTGTATTGCAAAGTTGTATTCAGAAAGAATAAACCAGTTTTATTTAAGAGAGGACTTGTATCACTAAAGTTTCTTCGGAAAGAATTTTTATGGAAAATTAATTAACGATCAGAGGCGTAACAATATCTTCCACTCCTGTTATTCAATACATCAAAGAAGCTGCCTACATATAAGAATCTATCCCTCTAACAACTTCAGTAATACATGTGTCATGAAGTCAATGTTATAGCATCCCATAATTTTCACTGCAACAGTACATGTATAGAAAATAACACTGTCCGTTTGGACATAGGTCAGAATATGCAGACACGTAGATACCTAGATGTTTTTGACCATAATTTACTAATTACATATATATTGTATAGGGTCCACATGTTCTCATTATTAAGTAATTTTATATTTTTGCCTGTTACAACAATTTAAGGAACTGACCAAAATCGAGTGAAAACATTTGTTTTGTTTATTAAATACACAGGAAACCCCAGCAGTAATTACGATACTGAAGGCATCTTTGAATTTTTTGTGTGACTCAAGTGTTATTAGGGTTCTTATAACTAATAAAGTAATGAACCCACAAGGCTCAATAAAAATTATCTCTATGGGTGTGAGAGATAAGTTGGCTCACTGAATCAAAAAACGACTGAATGGGCAAAAGCAGGGGTTGTTATAAATGAATTTCAGTCAAGCTGGATTAATATCACAAGTGTGATACTTCAGGGTTCAGTGTTAGGGTCTTTGCATTTTTTTTTTTATTTACATCAGTAACATAGATGAAAAAATGATGAATAAATTACTTATATTTGCTGATATTATTAAGGTCTTGTTTGTTGCAAAAATGGATACTGCTGTTTTACAAAAGGATTTAAATTATTTAATAAGTTGGATGAATAAATGGCAGATGGTATTCAATTATAATAAATGCAAGGTAATGTATGCAAGTTATCATAATTTGAATAATAATATAATATAATTTTGATTGGAATAAACCTTAACATTCTCATGGAAAAAAAAGGAACTTGTTTATGTTTTTTTCTTGTTGATCAGTCTCCGAAGCCATCTAAGCAGTGATATTACTAGCTGTAGAGCAACTAGGATTTTACATTGTTTTTACAGAAAGATTGAATATAAGTCTAAAAATGTTATAATTTCATTGTATAGATCACTGGTTATACATTATTTAAGAGTACCATATTCAGTCTTGAACTCAGCTTACGAAGGATACAACTGATGAAAAGAGTTGAAAGAGAGCTACTAGGAAGATGGCTGAAATAAAAAGGTTGTCACATGAAGACAGGTTAAGATACCTGAAACCATTTTCTCTTGAAAAAAGAAAAGTTAGAGGTGCTCTGATTGAGTTGTTTAAAACTGTTACGAGGATCAAGAGTGTCAATGCTTCATCTTTTTTCCTTACTTAATGGTGAGAATCAAGAGAGCCTGCAGAAAAAAATTAGGGGGTCAAGTAACTCAAGTTTGAAAAAATTATGAAATCTAAATACAAATAGCTTATGATTTTCCAACAACATATAAGAAGGATTTTACATATCTAGTCATTTTTTTTCTTTTTGAAAATCCAGAGGTGGTCAAGTGACCCCCCCTCCCTTGCAGGCACCCATGGTGAGAATGGTAGGACAAGGGGACATGAATATACATTTTAACAACTATACGAGATAAAAGTAATCTTCAGCTCAGACACTTATTTTTCTAACAAGGTGGTTGGCCTTTGAAATGGGTTGCTTACAGATGTGGTGGATGTAGTAAATTTAATTAAAGGATTGACTCTGAGGTGCCCTGAGGGTATCCCAAGGAGGGACAGGAACACAAAATCCAATGGCAGATTTGGTTTCAAGAACACTAAACACCTACTCCTAGACTCCTTCACAAATAGAAAGTATGAATTAATATAGTATTTTATACTGAACAATGGGTTCATATAAGAGAACACTGATAACAGTGATATTTCATGCAGTATCTATCCTGGTTTCCAAACTGTTGTTTAACTTAAGTTTTACACATTATTAATTTGCCAACAATTCACAAAATTGTTTTCTGTTTTTAAGGTAGTATTTTAATATTTTGATTATTTTCAATATATCCCCAGATGCAACTGATATGTTCCAGAAACTTTATATTCCCTGGCCAATTATTAATACACCCCTAAGTTACAGTCACGAAACTCACAATAGTTTTGATTTCTCTACGTTACACTAACAGAGCGATTATTTTATGGAATTAGTTGCTGTCCTACGTGGAGTAGTGGGGATTTACATGTAGTGGTTTGAGGCTTACCATTACACAGTTCACGTTGAGTAATGCCTTTCAAGTCTTCCAAGGTTGTGAATCCAGCTTTAGTTAATTTGAAACGAACATTTGGTGCTAGTGGAAAACTTCCGATTTCTTTCTGCATTGTAAAAATCACATTCTATACACTATTATAGTATTATATAAGCCCAATAACGAAGTTGCTATCCAAACCTCACTTTATATAAAGTTTTGACAGAGCGTAATTAATTCTAATTACACTAACGTTGAAGTGTATTTATTTATGTGTTCTTATCTATATGAAAGTTTTTGAAATAAAACGCAAAATTACTCACTTTTTAAAATAATTTTCGCGCAAAGCTACGCAACGTCATGTGCGCTATCTACAACAATATTAAATAAAAATAGCCACAAATTGAACGGAAAACAGTAAACTGTTGTTAAAATATTACAATTTCAAAAGTACTGTTATAATATGTTCTTTCGTTGCGCGAGTTATTTAAAATTATTTAGTGAAATAAAGTCAAATCCAATACACATAATCATAACAAATTAATTTATTTCTTCTTTAACATTTGCTACAGGCTGCTTTCACTTGTTTTAGGCCTGAGTTCACAAATAACGCTTCCACTTTCAGCAGAAATTTACTCGCTAATGGTAGCACAACTAATGCACAAATAAACTTACTTGGAAGAGTTTCATGGCTAATCTATCAATCAAATAACTGAATATGTGCGATAACTAACACTGATCTGAATTCTTCACTAACTTCTCAATCACTCAACAAACTGAAAAATTAACTAAATGTTCCATTGATTCTCATTTTTATAATGCATCTTTGTTTCTAGATATTTTGTAGTGTAAAGTCTTTTGATTATAACATCATGAACATTATAGGTATTGTAAAACTACTTTTAGTAATTTTACAACGTTCTAAACCTAACATCATCACCGTGTTAACGGCGCCCTGTAGCAAATAACTAAATTAAAACACTGAAATTTAGTTTGTAACATTTCTTTTATTTTGTTAGTGGAGCAAACATTACAGTCATGCTTAATGTGGAAGAATTCCAACTCCATGGACTGAAAGTGAACACAAGCGAAGCCAAGGTACACTTGAGAGTTGTACGGGGTTTTGAAACAAAAAAATAATGAAGACTCATCAGAAACTGAAAGGTTTGTGCTAAATACTTACAAAAAAGAAGAAGAATGAGAACCACCATGCGAGAATTTAAGAGTTCTCGTGGAACATTAAAGAGACTGAAAGTTAGATAAAATCCAATGTAACAGTTTTAAGAGTTATATCTAGTCTAAACAAAAGAAATATCAAACAGAAACCTACGTGGCCTCTGCTATCTAAATTAAAGAAGTAGAAACACACGAAATCTGAGTTCTTTAGTACAAATATGAACTTGAATATACCAACTAGCCTCAATCTTTTCGTATTTTCAAGCCTATATATTCTGTGCTAGATATTCCAATTGACTGGTACAAGATGTGTGTGACTGCCCACAGCCACAGCTCTTATTTGATTCGCTAACGGGAATGGCTCAGCTCACTATTTAAATACTGCTTTATCTGTTCTTAGAAAGAAAAAAAATAAGTAAGTAAGCTCTGGCCTTCGCCAAAAACTCCACTCACCACTTACACAAACTAAGGTTAATGACCAATTCGAGTGCCTTGCTGCAAAGGGACTACGAAAAACAACATAATTTTAGAAATATTTACTTTTTAAATAAAGGAGTGGAAAACGTCTATTACACCCTCATATAAGAATGTGAATCCCTCTTCAACTTGTATTACTTAGATAGTCGCTAATGGTCTGATATGCCATGAATTACTGAACGGAGATACTTTCCTGTTAAAAACTATAGTTCTAACACTCAGAACTGGGATTTGATTTTGTAGATATTCAGGTGAAACTGAATTATAATTTTAAAGCACTACCAGATAGGTTCACAAAATAAAAGGATATTCACTAAAGACATTTACTATGGAATAGTATTAAATGCTTTACAACTGAGTTTGTGTAAAATTAAGTCATGATAATAGACACAAAGTAAAATATAAAATGAACAATAATTAATAAAACTAAATACAAATAGAATGTGTGTACCTGCTTTAGAATGTAATATGGACTGTCACTTTGTCCTGTAAGTTGGGAGTATTGGTACTTTAAGAGTTCTAAAGGACTGTTAATATGATTACTTTGGCAGAAATTCATCTTGAGAAAAGAAAAGCTGTTCTATTCACACACCCAGTAGAGGCGATTTTCTAAATGTCTTTACAAGTACGCACAAATTCAAACTACTTCATAAATTTCTTACTTGATACTCCCATTGTTAAATGGATAGCAAAGAGAAATTTTGGTGTCAAGATCACAGGATTGATTGATTCTATTTTTGCTAATGTGCATACTGGCTCTTGCTTGATCACTTGAGCATACAGATTAAAAGGAATTCTTTTAACTAAAAGAATGGTTTATTTTCAAAGTAGAAGTACTCCTGCCCAAGTAGGAAAGTTTCTCACCAGATTAAAAATAGTTGTTTGAGAGAGGTGTCGAGCACAGAAGAAGTCCTATTCTGGATATAGGACTTTTGCCAATGCTGTGAAGGCCCTTTACATTTATCAGCATACAGTGGTAGACTCAAGATGAGTCAACATGCGGTGCATTAAGACTGGTATATGCAAAGGAAGTAAGAATGACCGTGGGTTACCAAAGTTGAATGGCTCGTGGTGAGTCTGAGACCAATTGGGGGAGATCGCTATAGGATTTGCAAGCTGTCTGTGGAATTACAACGTTAGAAACTGGATTTCGATATCCGTGGTGGGCAGAGCACAGATAGCCCATTGTGTAGCTTTGTGCTTAATTTCAAACCAACAAAGAAACAAATCACGATCCCCACTACTAAGTACTACAGTCCTTAATGATAAGTGTGTTATATTGCTTGTTTGTTGCTAAGCGCAAAGCTATACAGTGGGCTATCTGTGCTGTGCCCATCACGGGTATCGAAACTCAGACGTTAGCATTATAATCCTTTTGACTCCTTCCTGAGTCACTGGGGGCATGTGTAAATAATGTTTTGTTTATTTAATTCTGGTCATTTCATTCAGTGTATATGTACATATATATTTGTAGTAGAATGTTCTATTGTATATAGATGCAAGTCTTTTATTTCTTGCCTAAAAGGTTTGACTTTGTGTTTGATGTAGTTAGTCAGTAGCATTTATTTTTGTTTGTTCTATGATTTCTATCTAGAGAATTTATATTTGGTGTATCATATATTTACCTATGTAAGGTTTTTATTTTTATGCTTAGAGTTCATTAAAGTTTTTGTTTTTATGATGTAATAAGGTTTTTTCCGTGTTAGAGGATTTCTATTTCATTTTACATACTAGACTACCTCCTCCTAAATGGGTAGGAAATCTTTAAAGTTTTTTTCTTATATATTTATTGTTCGTTAAAACGTTTGGCATGCTTGTAAGTTTAAATTTGTGTATCGTATTTCTTTGTTAAATAGTATTTTACGTATTTCTCTGTGTTAAATGTTTAATGTACCTCATTGTTAAAGGGTTTCCAGTTTGTAGAGGCATGTTGATTTCTGATTTCAAGTCTTATAGTTAGTTTTATCTGAAATTTTCACTAAATGTTTGTATTAGGTATTATTTCATTATAGATTCTGGTAATGTATCTTTTTATTATAATGCATTATCTTGTATAGATTCTTAAGTTGTAACTAAAGTGCTTTATTTCATCTTGCATTGTAATATATTATTGTGATTTTAAATTTTAGTTTAGGGTTATTTTCTTATGGTTAAATTTAGGTACACGTCGTCCATGTGTTCATAAGAGCAAAGAAAAGTTGGCAAGCTTCATGAACATGTCACAATAAAATGTTTATTGGTTTTAAATATTAATTTAATTGTTGGTTTGAGGAGCCCGAAATAGAGATCAGGGGAAAGTGTAATACGCAGGTATATCGCATTTTCTCATAGTCTTTATTTATATAAATTAAAAGGGTTTAATATGTTATTACTGTTACGACAGCGGAAGTCACGTGACGCTGGTAACACCTAAACAGTTCTAGAAAGATCAGGGAACATCACGAATAATCCAGTATTTGCTAGGCGCCCTCTATTCTTGTATATAAGTGCGCCAGACAATGAATAGATATGAATGATTGCAGATTGAAGAGATAGAGACGGACAATCGAGTCAAGCGCGGTAGTAAAGTGCGTGAATCGTTCGTTTTGAATTATAGCGTGTGTTGAAGTTAATATAACTGTAGAAATTAAGTGTATTGCAAAGTTCAATTGAGAAATAATAAACTAGTTTTAATTAAGAAAGGACTGGTGTCGCTGAAGTTTCATCAGAAATATATTATACGGAAAATTAACAAACGAACAGAGATGTAACAAATTGGTGTCAGAAGTGGGATTGAAAAAAAAAAGAAGATGGAAACGAGAAGTGGCAAATCAAACTACAGCTTAGCAGATTTAATGGCAACAATACAGGAGCAGCAAAAAATAAGAAAAATGAGAAAAGAAACAAGAAGAGAGATTACAGCAGTGGCAAGAAAACTTGCAACAATGGCAGCTCGAACAGCAAAAATAAACAAGAGAGATTACAGCAGTTG